GGCACGAAATCTCTAGGTCTGAGGCACCTAGCAAGCAGTTGGCGTTCATATCGCATATGAAGGCCATATCAAACCTTGCAAACAATTGAGCTCCATCCTCATTTAGCGGTGCACACATTGGGCATAGTGCATCGTCGTTCTACATCCATACATCGGTGTCGAATCCCGAAACTAGCAGGAAGGCTGTTGTGTGAAATACACCATAGAAACTTCTTGGCTGTCATGGTACATGGTGTATTCCATATGTTAAATTTGTTTTTCCGGTGTATAGGAAAATTCGGTTTCCTGTGTTACTCACCAAAAAAATTCGGTCAGTTCGGTATTTTAGCCGGTTAATCGAAGAAGCCAAATTCATCCCGCCCCACATGTTGAGTACAAGCCCTCCCGGCCCAATTAGAGACGCCTGGATGACAAGGTCCAACTGCTTGGCGTTCTTTAATTCTTTGTTCACCAGTAATGACATGTATCGCTCATTGTGAGCATTTAAACTCCGATCGCCCACTCGCATAGGAACATGAGCCGACCCATTAGGAATCGTAACGAAGCATGCGTCGAACCACTAGGAGAGGTGCGGATTAGTTTTAGAAATCTTTGAAGGTTTCCGAACCTTTTTTACTCATTTTCTGGTTTACCTTTTATTTATTTATTTTAGATTGTTTCATTTTCCCTATGTACCTTTCCTTTTTTTTATTTTCTTCTCTTTTTTGTTTTCAAACTTCATAAATTAAAAAATGTGAAAAATCTAGAAAAAATATTCAAAATTACAAATTTTGTTTGCTCTTTAAAAATGTTCATAATTTAAAATTCTCTTCATGCTTTTAAAAATTGCTCACGAATTTAAATTTGTCAAGTGAATGAGATTTGAAAATGTCCTGGAAAATTTCATGAATTTGAAAATTGTTTGATTATTTCAAAAAAAATGTTTAGTAAAGAATGTTTGTGAATCTGGAAATTGTTCAGAGACCAAGATTTTAAAAATGTCCAGTGGAAAATGTTCATGAATTTGAAAAAAAAGAGAGTAAGTGGTTTTCAACTCATGCAAAACTTCATGAAGAATTGCACATTCACAAGATTTGAATTTTTTTAGTGAAAAGTGTTCACTTTTTTTTCAAGTTCGTGTAAAACTTCATGAACTTGAAATTTGTACGATGAACAAGATTTGAAAATTGTCCAGTAAAAAAATGTTCATGAATTTGAAAATTGTTCGGGTTTTTAATTTTTTTTCGAAATTTACAATAAGGTCATGAATTTGAAATTTGAACGATATTTGAAAAATATTTGTGAATTTGAAAGAAACGCAAAATCCCAACATTTTTTTGTTTGAGCGGTACAAACGATCTAAAGGAAGCTCGAATAGTTGATCGCTGGTGCTAGGGCCTCCCTTTTCCCCGTTAGAGATGACAACAAATTATGATCATGCTAAATTCAGCCAAGAATCTTGCCAATTAAAGGCTATGATATGTAGTAGTGAATCTTAGCAAGAATCTTTATCAATTAAAGGTTGAAGATCTTCTGTACTAGGCTTTTCAAAATGCAAAGGAATTACCGCATACTTTATAGGGAAATCACCTACTACACACTAAAATATATTTGCAAAAGCATGTAATTCACTAGTATCCAAGTTAATAGGCACCAAAGCAGTCTTGTGATAATTAATCCTCATGTCTATTTAATGACCATTATCCAAAAAAGGAGGGTGTGTTTTATATTGCCAGCACATGACCCCCTCCACTAAATTAGGAGATAACCCCACTAATCAAACTTGCTTGAGAGCCTTTGAGTAACATTTCAGAGAAGGCATCTACTATCAGGTTAAGCAAGAGAGGAGACAAAGGGTCACCCTGTCCTAAACCTTTAAGAGTAAGAAAAAAAGCCATTCTCCTCCTTATTTAACAAGTTTAGCCGTGCACACATTGGGCACAATGCGTCGATCTCCATCCATACCTTGGCGTGGAACCCCGAAATGCATAGACAGGCCGTGTGTGGCAATTTGAGTACGTCATAAGAAATGCTTTGTTGACGGTGTACATGGTGTGTCTCATTATCATCATCATACCATAACATTTGGTTTTTTCTGTTTTAGATGGAATAGCATTCGGTTTTTCAGTGCACAGGAAGATTCGGTTTCCCGTGTTACCATTTTTTTTAGCAAAGTTTCCTGTGTTACTGGGAATGACCAAACAAAATTCAATCGGTTTGTTTTTTTAACACACAGGTTTTTTTTATTTTAGAACAGAAATCGTTTTTTTAGGGTTAGTTATTTTAGCAGGTTTTTTTTTGAGCGGTAGTTATTTTAGCATGTTAACCGAAGAAGCCGAAACCATCCCGGCCCAGATGTTGAGAGTACAAGGCATCCCGGCCCAATTAGAGACGCCGCCTAGGTCACGCCCCCACCCCGACTCAGCCGCCGCAACCGCATCTTTTTCCCCATCCTCACCCCGGCTCCCGACGGCCGACGGGCCATCATCCCGATCTCCACGCCCCCCTGCTCCCGACGGCCGAAGGGAGCCGGCCCCGCAACACACGTCTCTTTCTCCTCTCCTTCTTCTTTCCCTTTCTTCCACCGCAAGCTTCTCTCTGTTCTTCCTTCCTCCTCTCTCTTACACGAACTAGCTCCAATTAATATACCAAAATGACCCGTTTTTTCGTGGATTTGGCACCGTGAATGGGTTCTACATAGTTAGGGGAGGCAAAAGAGACCTCGATCTACTGATAGGGTAGCTTGTGGTGGTCGTGGTGAGAATTTTATTGGAGCATTTTTTCAGCTCATTGGTGGAGGTTGTGGCGGTGGTGGAGGTGGAGGTGGTGGTGGTGAAGCTGGGGCAGTGTGGTGGAGGTGAAGCTCCAGTAGTTTGGTGGAGTTTCCGGCTCCAGTTCCAGTGATTGAAGGCCGCCGTTCGTCGTTCGCACGCACGCTACAAGGGTATATTTAAACAAACATTTTTATTTTCGAAGTTGCGTGCAATTATTGTTATTTGCTCCGGTAGTAATGTAAATATATTTAGGTAGTCGTGGTGAGCATTTTATTTCCCGGTACCGGTGTGCAATTATTGTTATTTGCTCCGGTAGTAACGTAAATATATTTAGGTGGTCGTGGTGAGCATTTTATTTCCCGGTTCCGGTGTGCGATTATTGTTATTTGCTCCGGTAGTAAACGTAAATATATTTAGGTATGTTAGTTATTAGAGTTGCTCCGGTAGTAAACGTAAATATTTAGGTGTTCTTGGTGAGCATTTTAAGTTGTTGCTTAATACTTGTATTAGTTGCTGTGTTAATATTCTGTAATATATAGCTAGCTAATATATAGACTTGTCTAATATTTGTTAGTGGGGGTATTTTAAGTTGTTGCTTCATACTTGTATTTCGTTGTTGAAAAAAAATAGGTGAACCCAGATGTCCGATGTAGTAAAGTTCAGATTTTACTACGGTCCTGGTACTGTCCAAACAACTGAGATGGGAGCTGATCTGAGTGAATTTACTCACATAGAGGTGCCAATGAGCGCACCTCAAACATGGTCTGTCAGTCAGTTGAAAGAATGAATTGCGGCAAGTTTAGGTCTTGATACTGAAACACAAACCGTCGGTGTTCATGCATTATGGATACGGTCAAGTTCAATAATTTACTTTTATTTGAGGCCAATAGAGCGAGACTCTGATTGGGTGCGGTGGTTACATGGTTGTGAACGAAGGGGATGCAATCCTATTGCTTTAGTACTTCCCGTCATGAAAATATTGCGGGGAAAAGGTTGCGCGGAATACGTCATAGTTTTAAAAAAAATCAGGGAATTGTTCGGGAAAAAAATGATGGCATGCACCAGTCAGCCCACAGCAGGCCAATTAGTCCCTATTGGCCCACAGCTGGCCAATTAGTCCCTGTCGGCCCACAGCAGGCCGATTACTCCCTGTCGGCCCACTACTGACCGACTGGGCCCAGACTGTTGGCCGACAGGCCAATCGGCCAGCAGCTAGCCGACAGGATCTCAGTCGGCCTGTTGTGGGCCGACTAAGTCCAGTCGGCCAGCAGCGGGCCGACGGTGTATTATTTTTGAAAATTATTGTTTCAGCGTAATATTTTTGTAAATTAATAAAAAAATTATTATTTAAAAAAATTAGCCCCCGACTCAGCCGCCGCAACCGCATCTTTTTCCCCATCCTCACCCCGACTCCCGACGGCCGACGGGCCATCATTCCGATCTCCACCCCCATGGCGATGAGGGCGCCGGTCGACGACGCCATGCGCGCGCTCTTCATGCGCCTGCCGGCGGACGACCCCAGGAGCCTCGCCCGCGCCGCCGCCGTCTGCAGGAGCTGGCGCGGCATCCTCACCGACCCTGGATTCGCCGACGGCTACCGCGCGCTCCACGGCGGGCCGCCCATGCTCGGCTTCCTCCACAACGAGACCGCAGTGACAACCGCTTCGTCCCCACTTCGACCTTCCGCCGGCGGGGGTCCCAGGACAGCCCAGACTGCCAGGTCCTCGACTCCCGGCACGGCCTCGTCCTCCTCTACGCCCCTGCATACGACCCCCCTTTTGAGGCCCGCGACCTCGTCACCGGCGACTGGTGGGACATCGACGACGACCCCAAGTGCCGCGACATCATGCACTGGCCGGGCGACGGCCCCGACGACTTCTTCAGCGGGACCGGGATACGCTGTAATGCCACGGTGCTCTGCGCCAAAGATCGATGTGACCACGTCGACTGCCATGGCGGCCCTTTCCTCGTGGCCTTGGTGGGCTCTGTGGAGGAAGGAGGCATTGCCCTCGCCACTGTCTACTCGTCGGAGGCTCGTCAGTGGAGCCACATGATCTCTGTTCAGAGTCCTGGTTTGCTCACCGATGACGGAGGGCACACTGCTGTGGTGGGAGATAAGGTCTATGTCCCAGTTATGAGTGTGACAGTGTCGTGGAGTTCAACATTCGTGAGCAACAACTATCTGTGATCAATGTGCCAGAGAACCTGGGCCAGGGATTCCTTTACCTCATCGGTGTGGAGGACGGCATGCTGCTGTTTGCATCCGTGCTCAAGCCTAGACTCTATCTATTGTCAATGGAGGCTGGTCCTAGAGGAGCTGCGGCATGGGCACGACGCAGGGTCGTCGAGCTCGAGCCGTTGCTCCCTCCTCGTGCCCTCTTGGACATGTCGAGCCCAGATGTGTGGACGGTTGGTTTTGCTGAAGGAGTTAGGGTAATCTTCCTCAGAACTCCGGCTGGGTTGTACGCAGTTGAGCTTAATTCAGGCCGAGCCAACAAGATGGGTGAATTTAGCATTGAAAAGGTCATGCCCTACACGAGGTTCTGCATTGGAGGTACATACAGACTATCTCGTACTGTTTTTTCAAACACGTGCACCAAGATATGAATGCTAAACATGCCATTGACTAGAATTTCAGTGTTTTTGCTTGTGGCTTACATTGTTGAGTAGTTGTAAGTTCAAGAGCACCCAAATACGTCGATGAATATATTGCTTTATTCTTCTCATTTTCTGCTTAGGTAGTTAGGTATTTGTATTCAGGTCTACTCGCCTTCTCTGGTTTTCTGTCTCTAGACTAGATATACAGTACTGCTACATTATTCTGATGTTGAGTCATGCCGCAGAGTTGGCTTATTGTAGGCAACCACGAGTAGTCTGTGATTTTTCCTGTCATGCCGTCTTTGATGTTGATACAAGCCAGAGGAAAGAAAGAGTAGTTGGTGCTGATTAAGTAGGCAGCTGACCAGAAAACTCAATGGTGAATGTGTAGTAGGGGCTGTATCCTGTATGTTTTGTTTGGATGCTCTAGTATATATGTTTTTTGCTGGTTATGCTCAAGAGTTAGTTAACTTAGTCAAAGCTTTGCTAATCAGATCCTGAGCAGTTTCCGTTGTTGTGTACCTCCAATCGCGGATGCATTACATCTTCTATATATAGTTTGGTTGACATGGACAGTTAAAGATGAAATGATTTTGAGGGGGCAAAGTGCGCTCCTTTCCCTATTTTGTTCGTCATGTTATCTGATCAATCCTTTGTTATGGTGCAGCATGGGGCCGGTTGCCGGCCTCCGATGAAGCGCGACACGCAGTTGCTGGTGTTACGTTGATGTAACCAAATGGCGTCAAGAAAGATGGATCTCTCTACTTTTGCCTCCCAGAAAGGCTTTGAAGATGAGCTTCTGCTGCTGGCTGCGTTGGATGGTTTGGTTAGGGTTATTTACAAGAACAAGAGCTCTTTGTATCTGCTACTACTTCTGTCTTCGTGTTTTAGGAGTATGTCATGCTATGAAATTCAAATTTCAAATATAACCCATGTCTTAACAAAGACAAGCTTGGTTTCGACCAGTGGTATTAATGTGGCTGGATTTACAGCTTATTATGATGAGTAAGCTGCTACTCAAAACTGGATTGCCTTGTTTTCACTTGAGTTATGGATCGTGCTTAGATTTCAAAACATTGTGAATGGCGGACATATGCTATTCATTTTAAATAAGCACGGCTTTTTACAAGCAATGCCATGGCAAGCATCGCAAGATCAGGAGCCGATGCATTCAGTGAAGTTTATTGAATCTTCGTTTTTCATGTATTTATCCTTCGGTTTCTATCATTTCTTTTTCTTGTGTAATTTATATCAATTCTAGTAGCACGGAAAACATAAATTTAAAGGACTACTAGTCTGACATCAAACTCTGAATAAATAAATTTACAGAGCTCCATCTTCCATCTAACTTATATGATACTTTGAAGATTAACAGTAGCAAGAAACTGCTAATAATACAAGCAAGCAGAGTAACCAGTGACAGCATTGCATTGCATTGTATTGTCCCATATGGGGACTTGGTTCCAGGCTCTGGTGCCTCAAACTCACCAGTAGTGTGGATCCCTTAACCTTCATCTAAGGCGCACCGGAGTCGTCGTGTTTTTTCTCAACATTGTATTCCTGTTCCATGTCCATCCCAACATGACCTTTAAACACCATTATTGTAAGATCTCCATAAACCGCCTTGTTGCAGCTGCTCAGATGGCATAAAATGTCATACCTTATTGTACTATAAGCCAAGAAGTAATCAAATGATTGAGCCCCACTCTTCAGATAATAAATTATGGCCTGCACCAACTAGCTTACTGAGGAACCCAGAATCCAAACCAATTTACTAGTGACAAAAAAAAACATGAGTGGTTGTACCTGGTGAAGCACCTGAATGGCGAAAATCTTTCAGTACTTTGGCAATGGCTCTCTTTCCTCAGGGTTGGGCAATCAGCATTTTCCCAACCTCAAACTTTTCTAGCAAAAACAAAAGAAGCACAATCAGTTCATCTGATAGAAAGATGATAACCCAATACACCCATTTATATTGGCCAAACATCATCCTAAACAAAAGGGAGGATATTATACAAGGGAAAATTGGGAAGCGAAGAAGATGTAAAGCCAAAGAGGAAGTGCACAAATTATGTGGATACGATATTATCGCACACTCACATTCTTAATCGCCGTTCATCTTAGAAACTAAACATATTTGTTGTTGGATGGTAGAATGACATTATAAATAGTGAGAAAGGGAGCACATTTTTCTTTTCTGCCTCTGATTGCTACTAAAACAAGACAATAATTGAACCAATTTTTAAGTAACAACATTTATCACAAAGGCAGAAGGGTATAATTGGCAAAGGGAAGTTGCATAAAACTCAGTTCTAGACTTCTAGTGCCCCATTTCACTAGGCAACTGCAGCCTCATTGAACTACATTACAGAGAAGTAAATTGCTAGGACCATGACGAGAGCTGTTTAACTACAGAAGAGAATTTAAAGCCGTGTCAATATCTTTATGTGCAGAACTGCAGAAGAAGTTACAAATTATCATGTTTAAGTGTTAACGGATGAAACTAAGGCACTGAAGTTAGCATCACATGATAATTGTTGAGTTGGCAAAAAGCTTTTACGATTGTAGTCTGCAAAGAGTGTTGCTGAAGAAGATTATGAAGATCTATGATAGCACCCTTTAGATTCAAGACCGGGCCAAACTGTGAACTGATGACATATTATAGTATTGCAGCAAACTTCAGACAGCAAAATATATATTTTAGAACAGCAATTAACCTCTGATGCGTGGTAACCAGAAGGCAAAGGTGGTGACATTTCAGATGAGGAAGAGCACTTAGTAAAATGCTTAACTTCTTACGGTTAACAATTGAGCAGTTTCAACAAAGCACTAGTAATTGATCAAGGAAATTGGCTTTTATCAGCATATTCTCTGTACCCAACAACTAGTCAACTACACAGAATCAAGTTGTATTGGTTCAGATAGTGCATATGGTCCAATATCAGAAGTGGAGGTGCTTCTTCTGGCTATTAAAACAAGTTCAAAGGAACTACAGAGATGATTTGCAACAAAAGTAGGCCATTAACAAAATTTCTAGTAATCTGTAAACAAGTACTACCAATATTTTTTTTGTGAGGACGACTTTGTTTACGGTCAAGAACACACTTTACCTCTCCCTCAAACCAATTCTATCTCAACTGAGTTCCGATTTGGGTCTGTTCCACAGATTGCTTTCCTCTTTTGATCTACAGACTGAACAGCAAATTGTTGGTCCAATCAACCATTCTCGTAATTAATGATGCATCTTTTGAAGGAAAACCTCTGGGAGTTACTCCCTCCGTCCCATAATGTAAGACGTTTTTTGACACTACGTCTTACATTATGGGACAGAGGGAGTATATGATATCTCTGAGAGTTAAATTTTTATCTGGTACACCATTGGAAAGGCGCCAAACATGTTGCATTTCTGCAGTGATCTAGCTGGATTCATGTTGAAACAATTAGGTTCTCATTTTGAAGATGACATGTGTGCTCTTCTTACAGTAGAGCAGAGAGATGATGTTGGCATATCAATAAAGATTTTGAATCAGTTAAAATCAGATCTTAAATTACTTCTCTAGAAATTGTCAATGTAAAAAGAATGTATTCTTGCCTTGTACGAGAAGAATTTTCCATTTATTTCTATTCTTCTCTTTTTTATTTTTGAAAACTTAACAAATTTCAAAAAGGTTCAAAGTCTTCAAAAATTGTTTGAAATTACAAAATTTATTTGCCTTTTCAGAAAATATTCGAATTTCAAATTTATTCAAGCTTTTCAAAAATTGTTCGGGAATTTAAAAATTATCCTCTGAATCTGATTTGAAAATTATTCAGTGAAGAATGTTTGTAAATTTGTTCAAGAATTTTCAAATTTTTCTCTTATTTCAAAAAAATGTTTAGTGAAAAATATACGCAAATCTGAAACTTGTTCGGTGAACGGGATTTAAAAACTGTCTAGTGAAAAATGTTTCTGAAATTGATAATTGTTAACAAATTTGAAAATTGTTTAGTGGACAAGATTTGAAAATTGTTCACGTTTTTTTCAAATTATTGAAATTGTTCGGTGACCGAGATTTGAAAATTTCAGTGAAAATATGTTCATGAATTTGATAATTGTTAGCATATTTAAAAAAATCATGAATTTAAAAATATCATGAATTTGAAATTTAAAATTTGAAAATGATTATAAAAATATTTATGAATTAACAATACTCGTAAAACCCATACAATATTTTGTTTGGCCCATACAGATGCGCTACATGAAGCTCGAATAGTTGACCGCTAGCATTAGCACGATAATGGCCTCCCTTTTTCTAGTTAGAGATGACAACAAAGTATCATCATGCTAAATTCAACAAGAATCTTATCAATTAAACGCTGTGATCTGTAGTTCAATCTTATTAATTAGCCTCCTGTGGTTCATAGGGTAGGAAAATCATAGGAACAGAATAGTTATAGGAAATGAGATGACATGTATCTCAAATCCTATGAAATAGTTATATGAAAGGAGATGTCCTTTGGTTCACATCACAAGAGTTTTTCAATTGAGTCTAGGCTAATATTTATTTTCCTATAACATGCGGAGGATAGAAGAATTCCTCTATAGGAATAGGATTCTATTCGCACAAATCAAAGGGCTCTAAAGGAATTATTCCTATAAAAATCTTGTCCTATGAAATTCCTACAATACGCCTCCAAACCAAAGTAGTTCTCGTTGAAAATCCTTAAGCTTTCAAAATGCAAAGGAATTCCCAGGTACTTGATAGGGAAATCACCTACTACACACTGGGAAAATATCCACAAAAGAGTATCCATGTTAATAGGCACCAAAGCACTCTTGTGATAAGTAATCCTGATTGTAGAACTTGTTCAAAACAAGTCAAAATTCACTGAAGGTTAAAAGATATTCTATGATCATTCTCCAGAGAAAGGAGGGTGTCGTCTGCATATTGCAGGCACATGAACCCGCTCCGCCTTACTCATTAAATTATGACATAACTCGATAATCAGGCCTACTTGAAAGCCTTTGACTAACATTATAGAGAAGACATCTGCTGCCGGGTTAAACAAGAGAGGAGACAAAGGGTCACCCTCTCTTAATTTTTTACCAGCAAGTAAAAAAGTCATTCTCCTCCCCATTTAACAAAGTTTAGCCATGCTCACATTGGGCACAATGTGTCGATCTCAATCCATTCCTAGGCGTGGAATCCCGAAACGAAACGTGTAGACAAACTATTTGTGGCAATAACGTCATAAAATCTGCTTTGTCGATGGTGTACATGGTATGTCCCATATATCATCATACCATAAAAATCCAGTTTTTCGGCGCACATGAAAATTTCGTTCATGTGCTACTGACCAAACAAAATTGAACCGTTTAGTTATTTAAACGCATGTTAACCTCATTGACACTCCAGAATAGGTAGCGACCATGTTAGGCCAAGGAAAAAAAATCAATGTGACAATTGTTGTGGGGTTTTGGTATCTATGGTGGGAACGCAGGAAGCTCGTTCATGATGAACAAGTACAATCTACAAGGCAAGTGGCAATATCTTTCATAGCACTCTTATCAAACTATGTAGCGGGAGCCTTGCCTAGAGCAGCAATTAAACGAGGGGGATTGGTTCCTCCGCCAAGTGAATATGTGAAACTGAACATTGATGCCGACTCCGATGATGGGAGGTACAATGGGTGCTATCATCTGTGACAAATTAAGAAAGTTTATAGATGCTGGAAATAGCCATATAGATTGG